CTTTGGGTATCCCTCATATCGATACCCGACATTCGTGCTCTCACAAAGGCTTTGTGGAGGGTGAAGCCGAAAATAATGGCTTCACCTCACTTTGGTGGGGCCCTATATGGGGTTCTATGAGAGCATGTTTTAAGTAGCTATAGATGTGGATCTATTTTGCCAAACGATTTACCAAAATGACTTCAGTTCCACTCGATAGAGCTGTTCATGGAACTGAAGCAAAAAAATGATGATTTCACCGGTGAAGTGGAGCCATGCCAAACGGAGCCTTTATGTATAAAATCCATTTTATTTTATCCCGTAAAGTACAAAATGACTACGGACAGTTTCTTAAGCCCGTGAAGAAGCTGTGACAACCGAATAACAAAGGGACAAATGGGGAGTATTTTCTTCAGACCGACGGACCGTATGTTTACAACCTCGGGCCTACTTCCACTATCATAAAAGAGAACATGCAAAATAGGTTCACTTTGCTTCGGGCCTAGTCCGCTAACCTACCCGAGACGTTCTGCTAAATGATAAAATACAATAAGCCCACTAGTTCTAGTGTGGGGGGTACGACCCCGGATACCCACGACAGACCACATGGGTTGCACCCCTAAGGGTGGCCCAAATTTCAAAGACGGCACCTTGCATGGGCACGATGTCACATGGGCCTCCCGCATGACACCCCACTACGAGATCTATTAGGATACGATGATCCCATGATTCCTCAGATTCGATATTACTTTCCGGTTATCTCCTAGATCTAACCGACTGTAACCCCGCTCGACTATATAAGGCGGCACCTCCAACTTTATGACACCGATAGAAGAAAAATCCAAAAGATACTACGAGATCTATTAGGATAAACCTCGCCTAACTGATCCCATGATTCTCGATATTCTACCGATCAATTACCTTCTTACCCCTCGAGGATTATCTCGGCTATATCTAACCGTCGAACAACATTGTAACTCTTTGTCCTCCCACGACTATATAAGGCACGGTCGGATCGATCTCGTGAACCCCTCCATCGAACTTCAATGTTGTGCGATACCCCATATCATGATATCTCGATCTCAAACCAATACAATCCAATAGACAAATCAACAACGAGTAGGGTCCATTGATCATTACGTCATCCTCTCCATCACGAATCGGCCTAAACTCGGGTTTAACGCCGACCACCCTCCTCGATCTATATCTATCGTGTGTCTCTAACTTGCCTTATGGCCTTCCCATTCTCGATTACAAGATGCCCTACGGGGAAATTCATCTCTAGGTTGAGATCAATCTACCTTCATCGATACCCCTCGAGGAGGAGAATCAAGACTCGCCCAAGGCTCTATGGAGACTATCGTCTAAACCATCGCCGGTTTGTGCGCCATGTAGGGATGTGCATGTTGTTTCAACATCATCGAACAACATGGTACATCATGGCGCAACTTGTTGTGAATTTGCGCAAAGTTTAGATACCTCCCATAGCCCTTCTTGCAACCCGATTAATCGTGCTTGGCATCGGTGATCTTCATTCTCCTTGGGTCTACGGATCGATCAATCATGGATCATCACGCGAGTACTTGGCGGCACCACACGGACAAGATCCAGACAAATAGTAATTGGAGAGCTCATCGAGCCGGTGCAAATCAATGTCATCCAACACGCAGATGTGCATGGGTTTTTTGCGCATATCCGATCTACTCCGCCAACCACCTTCTCGACCAATCAATGATTTCTTTGAATCACCGATGATTCACAATGCATAAGGACGATCCCCGCTCCGGACCGCCACCCGCATCGCAATGATGATCGCCGGAAGAATGGCGCCATGACGACCGTGATCAACGAATTCGTAAAAGCTCGAGGGATCCATTGATCCGACCAGATAACGCCATACGCCGCCGACCGGACATTCTCGCTTCAAAGCTAAGTCACGCTTATTTTCCTCCAATATCCATATATCGCCATCTCCGACTCCAATGTTTGCTCTCAAACGATTTTCCTCGAACCCCCCCCGTTGATGCTCGGATGTCCTAATCCACTCCTCCCTACACGGTTCAACACCGCTTTATTCTTCCTACATGCACACGAGTCCGGATCTTAATGGGCTAGGTAGCTCGGAGGCTAACTTCACTAACTGTTTCGGGTTATTTATATTAAATATAAATACATCTTTCACCAACTAATCATTGCCACCTCCTATCAAGATGCCCTACCCGGGGATATTCATCGACTAGGTTGAGATGTCCATCCTCCACCGATCAACGGTCGAACCCGCCAGGTTCATGGATCTTGGACCACCAACTCCCGGCCGCTTCATCAATGCTCACTTCGCATGCTACACGATTGGACCGTCACGGTCGATGCCCTCAATGCTCACTTCCCCGACTAGTTGATCGGAAACCATCTTGGAGGAGAATCAAGACTCCTCTGTGATCGTCCCAATGGCTCTATGGAGATTGTCGCTAAAACCACTATCAAGGGACTCCTCGGTGCTCGCTCCATCTCGCGCCACGTTCGGATCGCAGTCTTGATCTTGGGCAAGGACGTCTAGGGTCTTGATCTCCTCGGTGTTCGGACATCGCCCGCATGTCGAGATGATTCGTCATGCAAACTTTTCGGGACTCCTTGGTGGTTTTTTTGCTTGACTCATCGCTATCAAGATTCATTCTTCATCTTTCAAAGACGCCTAGGGTCTTGATACTGTCGATGATGTCGGCAAGGGACTACTACAAGATGATTCTTCATCTTCACTCGGGATTATAGGTGGGTGCGTGAATATAGTGCTTATTTCTTTATTTACTCTCCTTATTGATGGAGTCTAAGTGGCTACACTTCTCCTAAGTGGAAGAATTTTTAGATTTTGAACTTGAGCTCCTTACATCCTTATGGCAAGCTATACTTGGGATACGCTGCTCGGCGACGATTCACACTGCTCGATGATGGTTCATAGCAGGTCGGCGACGGTTCACAACTACTCGGCAACTCATCACGGTGGTCGGACCATGAGTTTGACTACTCGGGTTTGTTCGCACCTACTCGGACAAGCTCAAGACGGCGTTGCACAACGGATATAAGGCACTCGGAGACTAGCTGTGGGTGGTACGACCCTAGATACCCATAGCAGACCACATGGGTTGTGCCCCCAAAGCGGCCCAGCCCACAAGACGAAGCCTTGCGGGGCACGATGCCGCTCGGCGCCTCCCGCAAGACATCGGGAAGATATCCTGAAGATACTACGAGATCTGTTAGGATACGTATGATTCCATAATTCCTGTAATCTGTTATTACTTTTTGATTATCTCCTAAATCTAACCGACTTGTAACCCTACCCCTTGAACTATATAAGGCGGGCAGGGACCCCCTCCAAACTCACGTAATATCATACGATTGCCAATACAATCCAACAAACCAAAGGAGTAGGGTATTACGTCATACTGATGCCTGAACCTGTCTAACTCATGTGTCTCTGTTGTCTTCTTGTTCTCGATTACACGCATCTCTACCGATCAATCTACCTTAGTGGGATACTCCTCGGAGGACTACCGATGATATTCTGTCGACATCTAGACTCTGGACTGTGAGAGGCCCAGTTTTATATGTTTGCCGCCGACTTTGGGGCCCGGGCGAACGATGCAATCCGCTCCACCGGATATGGGATATGGCTGAAGCTTGCAATGGAGTAACGATAATGATACCGTCCTTGCTGGATGGGAAGGATGCGCCTCCCCCACGTCTCGCGTTGCGCGTCCCAACGCCAGGACAAGACGGACGTGTTTGGCCTCACATCACGTGCTCTCGTGCCTCGCGCCTCGTGCCAAAGGATGGAACAGACACGCCTGCCCTCGAGTCTCGCGTCGCGCGTCTCATGCCTCACGTCGCGCACCCTCGCTCGCGCCTTGTGCCTCCCACTGTGCCACGATCCATCCGCTCGTGATCCATCCACTTGTCGACCGTGGGCGACCTCGAGCTCCGCGTGAACGAGGCTCCATTGTGGTGCAACAAGTAGACGAACACATGCTGCAACCATATGTTTCATGCGTTTCATATGTATGTTGCATATATTTCTTTGGATGTTGCAAAAGTATATTTGGTGTTGCATATATTGCAATAACTATACACGTATGTTGCAAGTGTATATTTCAAATGTTTCAGTTGTTTTAAACGTATGTGGCAAGTGTTTTATATGGATGTTGCACTGGCTATACACGTATGTTGCAAGTGTATGTTTCAAACGTTTCAGCTTCTAAATGTTTCAGCTGTCTTCAAACGATGTTGCAAGTGTTTTATCTGGATGTTGCATATGCTGCAGTGCCCATACACATATGTTGCAAGCGTATGTTGTAAATTTTTATCTATTTCAGACCTATGTTGCAGCAAATGCTTTTGCCGCAAGTGTTTCATCAGTAGGCGCGGCTAGGGGCGCAGACAGAGGTGGTCCCCTCGGACACAGCGGTCCCCACGTGCGCGTGCGAAGCCAAGCGGACGTGACCGCGGGTGCGGAGCATAAAGCTATATCTATGGGCCTGGCAGCTGACATGGAGTACGAAGCTACATCCATGCTCGGCTGCTCTGTCTCTCTCGTTATTCCAGTTGGATGCGGCCGGTCAGCTACAGCATCACGTGCCAGCAGCAGCACGCGGGCAACAGGATTACAGGAGTGCCAGCCAGGCGTGGCCCATCGCTACTGCTCCTAATGGCGGCGGGCGCGATGATTCCTCCCCCAATGGTCAAATCGGGACTCAGTGACAGAGGCACAGGGGAAGGAGCACATGCGAGCACTATGCGTGAAAAGCCGGACACGAGACGGGCAATAGACGCTGGGTGTCCGGATGCGCTGCCTGGCGCCGGACGTCTAGGCGCTAGACGTGTCGGAAATTTTGCCACGAACCTCCACAAAAGACCACACACCGCAAATCTGCCGACGAACAATGCATTTCGCAGTCTGCAACATACGAAGCCACGCTCTACCAAGGTCTCATCGTAGCAGTGAACTTGACACGCTAAGCGCGGCTGCTTCACATGAACTCGCTCATCATGGCGAGCACCTGCGCCATGGTGGGCCGCTCCTCCGGCGCCTCGGCGGTGCACAGCATGCCGATCTTCACCATCCCCATCGTCTCGTCGGTACCCTCGCCGCCGTCCGCGGCCTTGTGGCCAGTCACCACCTCCAGGAGCACCATTCCAAAGCTGTACACGTCTGACTCCTGCGTGGCCCGCGCAGCCGCGCCCGAAGCCAGCTCCGGGGCCGCGTACCCGTGCCACCCGCCGGTCGACGCCTGGTCCAGGAACAGCTCGGGCGGGCACCGGGTGCGGGTGGCCTGCGGGGTGATGCACTGCTGGATGTTGGTGGCGTAGCGCATGAGCCCGCACTCGGACACGCACGCACCGCCGCGCTCGTCCAGGAGGATGTTGGACGGCTTCACGTTCGCGTGCACCAGCGCCGGGCGCGCCGGGAACGTGTGGATGTAGTTCAGGCCCTGCGCCGCGCCGAACAAGATGCTCTTCCTCGCCGTCCAGTCCAGATTCCTCGAGCCTCCTCCTGCAACAAGTCAGCAGCAGCAGACCGTCAAGAAAACTCACTTTCTTGCAGCAACTGCACACTGGCAATGCGTTTGGATTTTGCTCATCATATTTTCACAGCGCACCGTTGACTTGCAGAAGGGACTGGAGGCTCCCGTTGGGGAGGAAGTCGTAGACGAGCAGGCGCTCCCCGTTGGAGTTGCAGTACGCCCTGAGGCCGACGACGTGCCGGTGCCGGAGGCGGCCGACGAGCCGCATGTGGCGGTCGAACGCCTTGCTCCGAGCGGCGGGGAACTGCAGCGCGCTGAGGCGCTTGACGGCCACCACGATGCCGTCCTCTAGCACCGCCTTGTACGTGCTCCCGGACACGCCCTTGCCGAGCACCTCGGCGGACGCCTTGAGGAGGCTCTCCAGCCGCAGCTCCTCGCCGCCATCGAAGCAGACGAGCCCGCCAGTCTTGTGGCACCTCTCGTCCCTCTTTTCTTCCTCCTCGAAGCACAGCGCCGCGTCGGGAGCATCCTTGGCGGACCGGAGCTTTCTCCTCACGTAGACGAACGTGGCCACGGAGATGGCTAGCGAGACCGTGATGAGCACCGCGTTGCCAATGCCCGTGGCCATGAGCGCAGTCAGGCTAATCTTACTGAACCCTCCGTTGCTAGAAGAAACACTACTGATACTAGCGTTCGGAGACTGAGCGGCAATAATACTAGTGGTGGCATTGTTTGAAGAACTATCTGATCCTAGTGCATCGTAAGCATGTGCACATTTCGGCAGAGGCTGACCACAGAGAGCGAGATTGCCGCTGAAAGCGGAGCTCGGGAACCTGGACAGGTCGCTTGAGATCTCCCCGGCGAGCTTGTTCCCGGACACGTTGAAGCTCCTGAGCCTCGGGACGCGCAGCGCGTCCAGGCCTCCAGTGAAGCCGTTGTGCTCCGCTCGAAGGGTGAGCAGAGCACCCAGCGAGATGCGGAGGCTCCCGCTGAGCCTGTTGTGGGAGACGAGCAGGTGCCTCAGCCACGGGCTCGCCGTGGAGTTGTCCAGCGGCGGGAGGGTGCCGGATAGGGAGTTGTTCCTGACGGCGAGCGCCCTGATCCGGCCGAGCCCGAGGATGAGCGGCGCCACGGTGCCGGCCAGCGAGGCGCCGTCCAGGAAGATCCCCGCCACCCTACCCCTGTAACACCTGACCCCGAACCACGTGCCGGAGCACGGGTTGGGGCCGACCCACGACGCCAGGGCCGTGGCGTTCGGGTTGTACGCCTTGAAGGAGAGCAGGGCGGGGAGGTCCTCGTGGCCGGCATTGGCATGGTCACCGTGCACGTAGCGTGCCGATAGGTAGACGAAGACGGCGAGGAGCAGTAGCACGGATGAGCAATGGTGGAAAGGAGGCATTCTTTTGGTTTTGTAGCTGTTTTCGCCTGTGTTTGAGTTTGACTGAGAAATCGGCGAGCTGAGCTTTATAGCGCGGGCCGCGGGGGTGACAATTATCTGCGCGGGCAAGTAGAAATTTTTGAAAAGCACACGGGTAGAGCCGTGGAACGACGACAGACACTGGGGTCCAAAACGGAAAGCTGGGTAGCAGTGCCGTCCTGTATGTCAATGTTGAGGCTCGTCGTGGAGGTGAAAGTGGAAAGGGACGCCATGGACGACAGGAGGAGATGTCCAAGCGGATGGGGGCGAGGTGGGAGGCGACAGGTCCCTTTTTCGTCGTCGCCCTTGGGCAGAAGGATCTTGGACGTATTCGGTGGGCTTGAGCGTAGGTCGCCGTGATGGTCGCCGGAAGATACTGGTGCTCCTTCTACTTTTTTACGGGAACGGCTGAAAGGAAGCGAGAGGGCTCGGGGTTCCATGGCGCGTGGTGTATCGGGTTCACGAGCGTGCCGAGGGGGACGGACGTTGGCGTCCACCGCACCAGCAGGTAGAAGACAAGATGGTGAGATTCCTCCAGCTGCACGTTGCACTAGTTTCAGTGTTTCAGTTTCACTTTCACCGCGAACCAGACACAGCACCGAGCTGTGTTCAGATGTCAGGGCATTCGTTCATGCAGTGGGCCAGAGTCTGGTCATGGAGCTAGTCAGGCCTTTGCCACAGGATCCAACCCAGTAGCCCAACAAATTTAGCAGGGGCGTCGGGCTCGATTCGCTCCAGTTGGAGTTCCGGACTGTCAATTCGCTTTTAGGCTTCTTTGCCAAACGGGCTAGTGGACCGGGATCACAAAATCAACAATTGTGTGTATTGATCCCGGGTTTCTTTGTCGCTCCGGGTCAACTAATAGCCCCGAGCGTTTAGGATCTGATTCCATGCCAACAAAAGCTAAGCTAACTTTTGGTCTTGCCCTTCTATTTTGGTCCTCATTTAGGCTCCGTTCGGCTGGTCATATGGCCGGCTGAATCTTGTCTGGGTGTACAGTACCCAGATTCAGCCGAAGCCCAGAAATCAGCCGAGCACCAGCCGAACAGGAACAATTCAAAAAAAGGCACCAAATACAACATTTAAATGCAATTCGAATTCAAACACCAGCAGCCAACCATTTGAACTACAACACCTACAATTCAATACAACCAGTACTTCCCATTACTACAACATTCAACTGAGCATAACAAATCACAATTTCAATATATGACCATGATCAACAGTACTAAACTACCAACTCTACAGTCCTTACATCTTTCAAAGAGAACCATTGGGCACAATTACAAAACTTGTAGCCCCCTAGGAGCCACATGATCAGCTGCTACAATAAGTGTCACATATGCACTATTCTTGTATGCAGTTGCCCATTACAACAGGTAATTAGTGGTCATAACCAATAACAAGTCCAAATCACAGCAGTCCTCCAAATTTACTTGGGTGCAAAGGTGGAACAGGAACACAAAACTTATACCCAGTTTAAGGTACTGGAGACTGTAAGGATAGGAAGGCCAATTCATCAACAACCACATTCCAACTGCAACTCTCTTCTGCCTTCCAGCCGGTGCTCCCCTTGCTCCCAGTCCGCTACGGTAAACTTTCACCTGCATGTGTACAAAGCCTCATCAGCCCCAAACTAGGCAGTCAACACAAGATTTATGAATCACAATGTTTTCTAACACTACTATAATAGATTCACATACGTTGTCTTTCCAAGGAGTCCAAGTCCGTAAGTAATCCAGTCACGGACTTGTTCCATATCATTAGGGAAACTTAACGCCATAGCTGCCACTTGATGCAACACGCCAAGTCCTTGTGCTTGCCTGTACCTCCCTGCTTGCTTCTGTCCCTCCAGATCATGCACGTAGTTGTGCAGTGCACACAAAGTTGTAATTATCTGTGATTGCTTGGTTCCCGAATAGTAAGGTACGGCTTTCAACATTCGTCACTTAGCTTTCGCGGCCCCAGATGTCCTTTCTATTACATTACGTAGCTTTGAATGGTGGCGGTTGAACACCTCCTACGCGTCACCAGGGCCCCTATCCTTGAACTCCTTCACCCAGTACCTCTTATTTGGATACGACGCCAGATATCCTGGGCGAAGTGCGTACCCTAAGTCCACCAAATAATAGCGTCCTGCAAACAAAAATACCAACACACAAGGTCACAAACATTTACCATGCAACACTAGACAACCGCTGCATTAATAGAACAAGGAAGGTAACTTAGGTAGACAAACCTGATGGTGGGTGTGGGTAAGTGGGATCCGCCCGTGCCTTCTTGATCACCCGCATGTCATGCGCTGAACCTTGTGTCCCGGCCCCAATATACGTGAACTTCATGTTGAAGTCACAAACAACAATCACATTTTGGGTTGTCCTCCCTTTCCTATTAATGAAGTCCTCACGTATTGCTTCATCAACTACCACATCTATGTGAGTTCCATCAATGGCTCCTATGCAGCCATCAAAAAAGGTGTGTACTCTAACAACTCCTGCGGCACTACAACATAAGTGTAGTCCTGAGGCCTAAGCACGTCATTTGCAAAGCGAACCATGGCGTTAAGAACTAGGGCAAATATCTTGCTACAGGTGCCCAATCCCCTCCTAAATCTCTCATGCATGTGCCTCTGAGATTGCGCTGTACCAGCTGCCCAAAGAAACATGCCTAAAGCTTCAATAGATTCAACTTCCCTAGTGGATGCTAGACCGTAACATCCAGATAATATGGCATGCAACCTTTGGAAAATTTCAGGCTGCATACGAAAGTTCTCAAAGCATCTACTATGATTAGCCAAGAGGTTATCTACCCATTGTCGACCGGTGATGTCCGGCTGATGATAGGCATAGTTCACTTGTGGCGGTACCATCGTCATGGACATAATTGCATATCCTCCCGCCATAGCTGCAGTTACAATTTCATTGAAACTGTTCTCACTTGAATTTTCACTTTCTTCATCACTTTTTTCCATGGTCCAAACTGCCTGCATGAGACAATATGCAGCAACAAGACAAGTTAACTTCATTTCTAGCTTTTTGGACGTCACTCAAGGTTAGCCACACCTTTTCCCCACAACAATGAACAAAAACCTAATCACAGTACTGTGCAGCCTCTAAAGTGTACAACAGTGCTTCAGTTTTAAATAATAACTTGTTTATATGCCCCCTGAACCTATCTGAGCCCAGCCCAACAATTTAGGAAACATGTACTCAACTAGGTCAACCAAGAACACCAATTAATAGGGAAACGGAGGCATTACGACTGCGTAAGAAGAGAATACAAACCTTCGAAAACGAAGATAATTTATGACCCCTTTATTCAATATTACAATAATAGAGTCTTGTTTGTTAGCACTCAGGCAGCTGATAGTACAATACTCTTGGGAACATGCAGATAAAAAGATTATACAGAGAACATGGCATAGCATAGCATAGTTGAAAGTGTTTGTTTTCAAATAATATTGTTGACAATTTGTTCAACTTTTGGCACAATCATCTTTACAAGAATTTTCTCTCATGTGATGACTGACATTTAAGAAATTGAACCAACGAAGAGAAAAACATGTTGCACAAAATAAGTATCTACTTCATGAAAGTTAAAGATACTCGAACGCCAAATACTAAAGCAGATAGGTCATACTCCAACACCAAATACTAAAGCAGGTAGCTCACACTAACCTCTGGCTACCTCACGTGTTCCATACCTTTCTGGTGCTGATCCTCATGATATGGTGACCTCAACAACCCCTGCAAAAAGAGTAGTTAGCCTACTCAGCCAAAGTAAGTTACTTAATACTCAAAAGGACAAAACCATATACAACACAGCAAACGGCTTTTTAGGAGTTCAATACACAAAACACATATACATCACAACAAACAGCTTAATAGGAGTTCAGGAAAAAAAATACGAAACATAGTTCTAGCCACGGGCCACATTACATCACAGCAACTCGAACAAACAGGCAGCAATTCAAAAAAACTAGTGGACAACAGAATGTAAAGAATACAATATGACACTCAAATGTCATCGTAGGTGGCCAGCACACTGAACATCTGATAGCCTGACGCGCAGATACTCAACAACATCCACCAGGACTACTTGTTGTTCCTGTTCATGTGCCACATGAGCCAAGCAATACGCTCTTCTGTGTTCACTAGATTCTTGAACTCCCTATGGGACACAGAGTTCTTGAACAGCTCCAATGCTTCGAAGAACATGTCTAAACAACCTGGCACACCATCATCTCGTAGGATTTGCATTGCTTCGTCGACCTCCGCCTGTTCACGGGTACGTTCTCGATCATGAGATGTACTCCTAGCAGCAATGCTTTCGGACAAACGTGCCATGTACTCCCCCACGTTGCAAGACTTCTTCTTCTCTGGGCTGTTAACAACATGATCCCTGGTGGCCCTCTTCGAATGGGAGTTGTAGTTGGACGGTCCACAAAATCTTGCGGCTGCACAACATGAGGAGGCGTTGAGGCACGAATACCACCGGCCGACATGAAAAAGCCTGTGTTCCGATTTCGGTCGCCGTAGAGTGCTTCCAGTTCTTCCAGGAAGCGAGGTGGTCTTCCACGTCTACCACCATCCGAACTTGTTTCCCTTCAAAGAACACATTCGCAAGTGTTAGCAAGATGGATGGCATCAGGCACTACAAGGGCAAAAAAAGTGACAGCTAATGGCAAAAGGTATTGGACTTACCGCGCACTCGGGCTAGGTACCGGCCTGGGTGTCCTAGTACTCAGGCTCAGCGACAACGTCCCCCGTACGTGGGTCCCTTCCAAGCCCAGTTGTTGATAGCTCATCTTTCCATTTAAGGTATGCGGCTTTCAAGGCATCTAGTTTGTTGTTGCATTGTTTCTTATCATAATGGGGGAAGTAGGTGTAAATGTTGTTCCAACCGATGGTAGTTAGCCCAAACTGGTTGAAGTTGAACTTTTCCTTCTCTTGAAGACACAGTTGCAGCAAAAGCTTGGTTTC